ATTCCCAACAGTAATATTATATATATATAATATATATTATATATAATATAAATATGTTATATTTATATTACATATTTTATATATATAAGGAGAACATTCTTATGGAAGTGTAGCAACTTCTTATTGTAGTTTTGATTTTATTTCCTTTATGGCAATTGATGTTGAACATCTTTTTTTGTGCTCATATTTCCCTTTGGTGAACTATTTTTTATACATTTCTCTCATTTTCTACTTGGATTACTTTTTTTTTAAAAAGATTTATTTATTTGTGCATACAGAACTGGGGTACAGGCCAGAGGTGCAAGGGCGGTGAGAATATTCACCAGAGAGAGTGGGGAGCAGAACAGGCAGATCAAAGAAGTATACTGTTGAGGGGAGCAGCAGGGGGTCCAGGAGAGGTCTGTAGCATCATGTGGATTACCGCTGGGGCAGACAGGGATGGAAATCATGCTGAAGTGGCATTAGCTTCTTAGTGTTGTGCTTTCACCAGCGAGGGCCTGGATTACTTTCAAATTGTTGAGTTGGGTAATTCTTTGTGTATTCTCTATATAAATCCTTTGTGTATATATGGTTGGCAAATATTTTCTCCCAGTTTGTAGCTTATCTTTTTATCCTTTTAACTGTCTTTTTTTTTTTTTTTAAAAAAAACACATTTATTTATTTATTCACACAGAACTAGGGTACAGGCCAGAGGTGCAGGGGCAGTGAGAGGATTCACCAGACACAGAGTGGGGAATAGAACAGGTAGATCGAGGAAGCACACTGCTGAGGGGAGCAGCGGGCCGGTCAGGAGAGGTCTGCCGCGCCATGTGGTCACCTCCAGGGCAGGCGGGGATCGAACTCATGCGGAAGTGGCTTTAGCTTCTTAGTGCTGTGCTTTAACCCACTGCGTCACCAGGGAGGGCCCTTAACTATGTCTTTTAAAGTGGCAAAGATTTTTATTCTGATGAGGTTCAAATCTATCTCTTTACCTTTTATAAATAATACTGTTAGTGACAAGTCTATCCCTAGGTTCTGGAGTACTTTTTCTTTTCTTTCCTGAAAGTTTTATGGCTTTACATTTAGGTCTGTATTCCATTTTGATTTTAAAACCTGCCCCCCAGCCAATCCCTCCCATGGAACTCCAAATTAGCTTGGCACCATTTGTCAAAGGCTCTTTTTCTTCATTGAATTGCTTTTGCACCCTAGCCAAAAATCAGCTGGGCACATTTTTGAAAAGTATTTTTTTTAAAAAAACGATTTATTTATGTATGCATACAGAACTGGTGTACAGGCCAGAGGTACAGGGATGATGAGAGGATTCACCAGAGACAGAATGGGAGCAGAACAGGCCTACTGATGAAGTACACTGCTGAGGGGAGCAGCAGGTGGGTGGAGAGGTCTGCTGTGTCATGTGGGTCACCTGTGGGGCGGGAATCGAACTCATGCTGAAGTGACTTTAGCTTCTTAGTGCTGTGCTTTAACCTGTTGTGCCACCGTTTCTGAAAAGTATTATATGCCAGACCTTAGGATATCTTTATATGAATTCTTTTATCCTCTTCAAACAACCTGCAAAATAAATTATTGCTTCCATACTTATGTAGTTGAATAACTTGCCCAAGGGCACTCAACCGATGTTGGGTTTCAGCTTTTTTCTTGTATTTCTTCTATTGCATCTGCTTCTTACTTATCCAGCCAACATTTATTTAGCATCTGTTGTATGTCAAGCATCATTCTGAACTTGGGGAAATAAAAATGAACAACACGTCCTTTGCTTCACAAAGTAAGAAACAAAACTGGACCCCTAAAGCTCCCCACTTTGTCTCTGGTGAATCCTTTCACTGCCCCTGCACCTCTGGCCTGTACCCCAGTTCTGTATGCATAAATAAATAATCTTTAAAAAAGTTAAATGTAAATATGTTAGCTGCTAAAATGGAGTTTTATAATCTTGCAGTATGATAATGGTGAAAATTAAATTAATGTATAAAATTTTCCCTCTATACATCTACATATACACATGTAAAGATAATTGTGTCTATATATAAACAAGTAAAGGCATCTGTCTACATATACACTTGTAAAGACATATATATAACTTGAAGGAAAATTCAGTTAGGTTGGGTCTTTAGTAAGAAAGAAAAATAAGCAAAATATAATTTATTTTTATACTTAATCAATAAGGATATTCTTTTAATTATTAGTAGAAAATTATTTTCACCTGAGTTTCTCACAAGTAATTTAGACTTTTGACTTTGAACTCAACAATTGTTAAATCTACCCATGTTACAAAAAAAGTCTCCCCTCTTTACATTGTAGTACCTTGATGTATGTACAATACTCTTGTAGTAGAATAGTGTTTCCCCTAAATTCACACCCACTTTTAGAAACATAGTCTTTGGAGGTATAATTAGTTAAGGGTCTCTAAAGGAAATCATCAGGAGTTAGGACGGACCTTAAATCTATTGTCTGGTATCTTTATCAGGGAAAGGAGAGGGAGATTTGGACACAGAACACACACAGAGAAGGAGGCAGTGTGCTGATGGAGAATGTGATTAGAATCCTTTGTCTACAAGTGAAGGAACATCATGGATTGTTGACAACTAGAAGCTTTCTCCAGAGACTTCTGAGCAATCAATGCTGCTAATGATACCTTGACCTCGGACTTCCAGCCTCCAGAGCTTTGGAGGTTGTTGTTTTAAGCCACCTGCTTTGTGCTAATTTGTTACAGCAGCCCAGGAGTACTAATACAACCCCTATTCCTTACCATCGTCCTAGCCCCTCAAAGGTACCATTATATAAGTAACTTTTTATGCTAAAAAAATGATAGGTTTTTAATCACTTAATATGGGAAGAGGACATCATCCACAAAGATATACTGAGCCGAGTTTTCTGAGGCTCATAATAGCTCTCAGTGCAAACTGATTAGACTTAAATTGCCAATTATTTAACTTTGTGCTGCCTGATGGCTGTCAGTTCTCCTTGATCCTCTTCTAATTAATGTTGATTAGCGTAAGCTCATTTAGTTGGTTAATATTTATTTCCTAAAATGAAACGTACTCTTGATTGGTCTGCCAGGGAGAAGAGGGCCAAGATCCAGGTTACTGATAGTTGCCTTTAAAACTATCAAGAGTACCTATTATTAAAATCCTATCTCTTTGAAGTTACCTACTCTGCTAATGATAACTTAAGAAGGAAGCCTGGAAAGTTAAGTGCTGATAAAAGCTGATAAGTGCTCATAGCTGTCTAACATAATAACCACAATGAAAATATTCAATTGTCCAATTCTCTGGTCTGGTTTTAACTATTACAGATATGGAGCAACACATTGTCTTAAGAGTTCACTTGTGAATTTTTGGCTGTTGGGTACCTTTTATAACTTCAAATAGACCCAAATAGTGTGCCACATCCATTCAAAGACTGATTTTTTTTTTTTGCTTTTGGATTAGGGCTCTAAATATTGTGGTTACCAAGTCTCCTATATTTTGAGAGGGTTTAAATTTTCATGTTTTTCCTAGTTTTAAAATATATTTAAAAGTAAGGTGTTGTATCTGTAATGAAAATGTGCATATATAGGAGAGGTACAGTTCTATATATATGGGGCTGGTAAGCTATGCATAACAATGAGGAAGGAGCAGATCTTCAACTTAGTAGGAGATGTATGTTTTGCATAAATTTTATACAAAACTGAAAGTAAGATTCAGAAGAAACTTGCAAAGACATGTTTGGCTCTTAATTTACTCTGTGACTTCCTGTATGAATATATTGTGATTACTATGTAGTCTAAAATAGAACTTTCCAAATGACAAATGTTTTCATCAGGAGCAATGTTATCCAAATTATGTTGGAAAAATAAGCAAATGAACTTAAAAAATTGTATGCTTATTATTTAACTGCAGAAGTGAAAGTGGTATGTCATCTTTGTATTTATTTTCATGTGATATAGTCATAAATAAGACAAATGAAATAACTTTTTCAAAAAAAGATTCATTTATTCATGCATACAAGAACTGAGGTACAGACCGGAGGTGTGGGGGTGAGAGGAATCACCAGAGACAGAGTGGGGAGCAGAACAGGAAGATGGAATGAAATACACTGCAGCGGGGAGCAGCTGTCAGGAAAGTCTGCTGTGCCATGTGGGTCACCTCCCTGGCCAGGGATCAAACGTGTGTTGTAGTGGCTGCAGACAGCTTCATAGTACTACACTTCCACCTGTTGCTTCAACAGAGAGGTTCCTGAAATAACTTATTGACCAATTAGTTAAGCCAGGGTTTCCTATTAGATTCATTATTGTTTTAAAGCCCGGTTTGTGTTCTTTCTAGGCCAGGTATTTGACCTTGTTTGGATAGCAGTTGAATGACCTTTTTGGGCTGACAGCACAAGAGTTGTTCTCAGTGTAAGAGTTTCTCTGTAGTTCATTTCTTTTCAAGGATAGGGAACATGTTTTGGCTTTTAAATATATAATTTTATTCATCTTAACTATTTCAACTAAAGTAACAAGCAGTGATCATATACATATTCCACGAAGGCTCAGTTTGGGTGACTGAACCATTTTATAGTCTTACTATTCCTCCCTCTTTTAATCAGAACACAGGGCACACTCTGTAAAACAACTGCTAGCAAAGCACAACTTGGTCTTAGGTCATTAGGTTTTGTGGTCCTTTCCGTGTTAGGTGAAACTCAGCTAGGCCTGGTCAGGACGCCCAGTGTCCAAGGGCACTTTCAGGTCGCTTAATATTAACACTAACAGTTACGCCTTTCTCTGGACCAACCGTTGGAAGACCTGCACGCAGATGTGTGTTTATTTTCAGGGCCTGACATACGTTCAGAGGAATTTAACTCCACCTCTTCGGCAGGAATCCTGAAACAACGCCCCCATTCCCGCCCTTCACTCAGGCCTCCTCCCACTCACTCCTGTTACAGAAGTTCTGATTTTTCCTAGAGAGCTAGAGGAAAACCAGGTAGCCTAAGTAGAGTTACAGACCCACTTATTCGCTCTGGTGGGACTCCAGAGAGGAAATCACCCTTTGTCACTGGCCTTCCTGGGGAAAGGACAATGTAGCCTTGAAATCTTGCTCGCCCGAGTCTGGCTGCAGGTTTGATTGACGCGGACAGGCCGAGGGAAGCTGGAGGCGTGGCTGGGGGCCGCGGGCCGAGCTTGAGACAAAGGGATTCGGGCTGCCACGCAGAAGAGTGAAGGGCCCCTTGGGGCAACTGGCCTTTGCACCGTAAGGGAGCATTTTGGGAGGTCCTGTTCAGATGTCGGGGGAGAGGGCTAGCGGAGTGGGGCGGGGCGGGATCCAGGGCCTGTCGTGGAAGGGCCGTCGGGGTCGGGGTGGGGGCTGCGCCGGCCGTCACCAGGCCCTTGCAGCCGCGGAATTGGGGCTTTTCTTCCGGGTTGCAGGCGCCACGCCGCCGGTCCCGAGCCCGGGTGGACCAGCCGGTCACCTTTTGCGGTCCGCCGCCGGGACCAGGGGGCCTTCCAGCCTACGTGAGGGTCGGGGCGCTGGCGGCTGGGGAAGCTGGGAGCCGTGCGGGTAGGGGGTACGGGTTCGCCCCAGTTCCCTACTGGGAAGCACTGCTGTCAGAGAGCAGAAAGGGGGCAGTGTTGGGGTCGGTAGTGATCCGTGTAAGGCAGTGATCCGTGTGCAGGGTGACCCCGGGCGCCGGGCAGACGGTGGACTGGGGCGGGGTTGAGAAACGCCCCTTGCTCGCTTCTTGCAGTAGCGACGTGGAAGGGAGTGGCGGGGTGGATTTGGGAAAGCTGTCCAGTCTGCAGCCCTCCGGGTGAAGATCTCGAAACTTTGGGGGGCGGAGGCGGCGGGAGTTGTACTGGGTTCACTTTGGCCCGCTAGGTGGGCAGGAGGGAGTCCTAGAGGATTCTTGAGTGGGGGTGCATCCAGGTGGTAAATGGACGCCCCTTGAGTGTGTTTGAACCTTGAGGGAATTCGGGGTGGTCTGGGGACACAGGAGATGGTGACCACAGGGCTGGCGGGGGTTGGGGATGGGGGGTTTGGGGGGGTCGTAGGGGCATGTTGGTACTGGGCTCAGATTGGCTGGTGCTGACAGCGCAGGGGGCAGAACTGAGTCAAACTTGAGAGGGCCGAATGACTTGCAGCCTTGGCCTATGGGCTTCAAGGATGGTTATAAATAGTGGTCCAGGTTCCAGGCAGATGCCAGCTGGGTGACCCTTTAGTTGCTCATGGAGGGACGGGGCTGGTGATTTTGGACAAGGTCACACCGTCAGATTAGGCTTTTATAGATGTTGTGCCCATGTTGGCATGCTTGACTTTAAACGTATGAATTTACTGTTGCAAATGTCCTTTATTTGTGCAGAGTTGCTGGGCCAGCATTGAGCATCTATAAGGAGTCTTGTAGTATGGAGTCTACTTGGAAGGGTGGAAATTGCAAGTGTATTTAGGCTTTAGCTTTGCTGATGGAATCGGTTTTCCACAAGGCTGCAAAGGCAGTTCATTTTCAAAGGAAATTTCCTGAAACTCCTGGAGGAATTTGTTAAATAAATACCTAGGATTTATTCCAGGTAACTAGCCTTAGGTATTCATTCAGTCACAAAACACTTGTTTTTCCCTGGTGTATGTAAAGCCTACGGCCAGAGTTAATACCAAATGAATAATGCTGATACGTGTTCGCTTGACCCTTACAACCCCATAAAGAAGATGGAATTATTATTATTATTGTTATTTTTATTTTTTAAAGATTTATTTGTGCATACAGAACTGGGGTACAGGCCAGAGACTCGGGGGCGGTGAGAGGCTTCACCAAAGACAGAGTGGGGAGCAGAACAGGCAGATCAATGAAGTAGACTGCTGAGGGGAGCAGCAGGCGGGTCAGGAGAGGTCTGCCACGCCATGTGGTCACCTCCCGGGCAGGCAGGAATCGAACTCATGCGGAAGTGGCTTTAGCTTCTCAGTGCTGTGCTTTAACCCGCTGGCCACCAGGGAGGGCCCAAGAAGATGGAATTATTACTAGCACCATTTTAGAGATTAGAAAGTCAGGTAGAGAGAAGTTAAATGACTGACTTTGAAATGGCAAAATAAGTTGCAGCGTGGGAGGGTCTCCAACTACAGTACTCCATTTCAGCCTCTGATCTTCTCTTTAGATCAGATGCTTGTCCTCCAAGATTTTACTATTGGGGGGAACAACTTATATTAATCTGTCATATTAAGGAAATCTCCTTTTTTTCAGTTTTGAATTGTAAAATATCTCTCCGTTGCTTTGAAACCATAAAAGTAGATGGATAATAAAACAGCAGAGAATTTTAAATTGAAGATAGGGGAAAATACCACAATAAGAACTGCTGCCTTTGATGTAGATAAGTACCAGCCTGTGATGTTTCAAATATTCACTGAATATCTTTCAGGGTCTTTTGTATTTGATTTAGGGTGATTGGTAGAGATTGTTTTTGGGAATAAACTTTGTCCTGATTGCTGTACAGTGTGTTCATAATCATTGGAACTTTTGGTAGAAGTTGGTCTCTCAAGACTTTGGCCTAAAAACTGTTCGATATGAAATTACCATTTTCCAAGTAGGCAAGGCAAAATTTCCAGACTCCAGGCCATGAAATAGTACTTTACCTTTAAAGGAATGCAAGATCTCGTTAAATCATAAAGTTTCTAGGGGCTAATGGGGTCTTCCAAGCCACTTTTTCTATGCTTCCTTTTATAGATGAGCAGACTGGACAGAGAGATCTAGGTCAAACTGTGACTGAGTGGCAGACTTAACAATGTCAGCTGGGTGTCCCTTCAGTTGCTCAGGAGGGGCGGGGCTGGTGATTTTGGGCAATGTCACACTCAGGTTAGGCTATTATAGGGTGTTGTGCCCTTGTTGGTATGCTTGGCTTTAAACGTATGAGTTTACTGTTGCAAATGTCCTTTATTTGTGCAGGGATGCTGGGTCAGCATTGAGGCATCTATAAGGAGTCATACAAATGACCCTATATTATGTATAGCTTTGTTTTTGCTGATGAGGTCTGGGTACGTGTTGTCAGTCCTCTAAGACATGTGGTTTTGGGGAGCTAGGCTCATCCAAAACAGAAACTAGGGAAAGTGGGGGAAGTTGGGCTAGGACAAGGTCATATAATGGGAGCAAAGATCTCCCACAAGATCAGGATTATCTTTTACTTTTTTTGCATCTCCCTTGGTCTTGGTGTAGGTTTGGTGAATGCTTCAAATGTGTGGTTGAATTCTGAGCTCATTTGTTGTTTGTTCTCTCTTTATATATGTATACAAGAACTGGGGTGTAGCCAGAGGTGGGGGGTTGAGAGGATTCATCATTGACAGAGGGGGTGCAGAACAGGCAGATCCACTGAAATACACTGCTGAGGGGAGCAGCAGGCGGGACAGGAGAGGTCTGCTGCACCTGACCAGGATCAAACTCAGGCCATAGTGGTGCTAGCCCTGAGACTTAACCCCTAGACCACTATGGAGGCCCCTTCTGTCTATTTTTAGCCATGAATAATTCTTGAAATGCTCATGACTGAATGAGACTATTTATAGGACTTTGGGATGCTTGAGGACAGCAACTGAAGGACATATGTACAAACATTTTGAGAAAGTACCTGTTTAAATGCAGAGTTACTCACATACATTTTGACTGCATGTTCAAGCACTTTTGCTTGGTGGGTGTGCCTTCCAGGCACTCATGGAAATTACTATTGTAGGCAATGGAGGCAGCCACTGAAGCCTCAATAACAGTGAAGGTCAATGACTGGACCCCAGTCTGGTCAGAGCTTACAAAAAATGACCACTGTGAGAACCACTCACAGAAGAGTCCCTTGTTATACCCACATCTGTACACACAAAGCTATATGATTAAAATAACCATGGAATTTTTCTTTTTTGAAGATTTATTTTCTTTGTGCATACAAGAACTGGGGTATAGGCCAGAGGTGTGGGGGCAGGGGAGAGAGAAGATTCATGAGCAGGAAGATCTATTGAAATACACTGCCCAGGGGAGCAGTGGGGGAGATGAGAGGTCTTCTATACCAAGAGAGGTCTGCCACACCATGTGGGTCAGCTCCCTGGCTGGGAAGGAACTTGTGCCTGCTGCAGAGTCTGCTGAGCACTTCATTGTGCTGAAACTTAACCCCTTGCATCCCACTTGGGAGGCCTGGAATTTTTCTTTCATATAACATACATATTTAATTTTTTTGAGATGTGCACTTAACAAATACTATTTTCCTACTGACTCATTCTCAATTCATGGGGTTTTACCACATTAACACACTGCTGTATTGAATAGGATTTCAGTGTTTTCTCTACAACATGCTGACTAAACAGGTTGCTATTATACAGTATCTTAGACAGTATATAATATACAGTATAATTTAAAGGAGGTTTAAGAATAATGGTGATTTTTTGCAATTTTTGCTGCATGTGCTGAATTAGAAGATAACTTTCATGTAACATGTGAGTAGACGCTATAGAAAATACAGTTTTGTCCAGCTGTATTAAGCATCTGTTAGACTTATGTGATCTAGGTTTGGAATTGAATGTTGAGTTTACAATTACGATTTCAGTGGGAAAATGGATCTCGAGTTTAAAGTATTTGAACTAGAAACAAACTCATTGACACATCTTCTGTAACTTGGCAAATAAATTTATTGTAGGTGTCTTCATAAAATGACTACATTCTAGGCTTTTTGGATTAGTATTTTTCTTAATGTTTTTGATATTCAAAAAAACACATATGTTTCTTTCAGGACATATTTTATTTTCTTTCCTGTTAGTGATTTACCTTCATGGAAATTGAGGATTCAGAAAATTGGGAGCTCCTATGAATATGGCGAATCTACTGAAAACAGTGGTGACTGGCTGTTCATGTCCTTTACTTAACAATTTGGGGTCCTGTAAAGTTCTCCCTGGGAAGAAGGATTTTTTAAGAACATTTCATACTCATCAGGTGCTGTGGTGTAAAGCCCCTGTAAAACCAGGTAAAATCTCATTTCAAAAGTGTGTGTAAATCAAACCTTCAAGTTGTGTACAGGAGTGGGTCACCTGATAAAAGGAAAAGTCATGCAGTCTGACAGCCTGGTGCTCTTGAGTGATCACTGTGAATAAAAAACAAATGCGTGCTTTGCCAGATTTTCCATGTATAGTAAGTTCTGGAAGAGAAGAAAAGATAATAGAAAAAGAAAATGATAAACTATTGGTTGTATTATTTCTCCTAGCAGTTTTTCCTCTTTCCTAGTCAATATTAGGGAATCATACCAAGTATATATCTCATCTGCTCAGGAATTTGAAACTAAGTGTATTAATTGATCTGCATTAATGCTTCTTCATTTAGTGAATAGCAATTTCATCTTGTTTATTCAGAAGCCACCCCAAATCCTCATGGGAGGTACAGATCAGCTCTACCTTGTATCTAGAATCTGCTCTCATCACCATGGCTAGTGTCATATTGTCCAGACACCATCATCTGTCGCTGGACTGTTGCACTAGTTTTCCAAATGGATTCTGTGCTTTCTACCTCTGCCCCCTCCTATAGTCATGGACATGGAAATGAGCATAATCTCTTTAAAATGAAGGATCCTCTTGCCCAAGGATGTTGTAGCATGCTCTCTGCACTAACTGGTCAGGACACAGCCAAATGCCACATGTAGCTGTAAGGAAATTTCAGATACTTAGTCTTTTTTTCCAGATGGCTTCTTTTATTAAGGCAGGGGAACAGGATGGATATTTGGGAGGTGACCAGAAATCTTTGCCACATAGAACATTGCCCTGCTTTTTCATTTAAGCTTGCAGGATAGTTCCCCCCACCCCCCACCTCTTTAAGGATTCTATTTCCTTAACATAACCACAATGTAAGTATCACATTGGAAAGCCAGAACAGTAATTCCAGTCAGTATTCATTGTTTTCTCAGTTTTTTTCTCTCTTCTTTGACAGTTGCCTTATTCAAATAAGGATCCCAAGAGAGACCACATGGTATATTTGTTCCTATGTCTATTTTTTTTTTTTTAAGATTTATTTATTTGTGCATACAGAACTGGGGTACAGGTGAGAGGTGCAGGGGTGGTGAGAGGATTCCCCAGAGACAGAGTGTGGAGCAGAACAGGCAGATCTATGAAGTACACTGTTGAGGGGAGCAGCGGGCAGGCCAGGAGAGGGCCACCCCACCATGTGGATCACCTCCCGGGCAGGCAGGGATCAAACTCATGCGAAAGTGGCCCCAACCTCTTAATGCTGTGCTTTAACCCACTGCGCCACCAGGAAGGGCCTGTTGCTATGTCTTTGGATATCTTTTGATCTTACGTGCACCTCCTCTGGTTTCTTTTTGTTCGTTAAAGAATTTTGTTATTTCCCTGGGGCATTTCTCACATTCTAGTTTAACTGACTGAATTCAGTTGGTATTATTGAACCAGTTTCTCTGTCCCTTGTTTTCTCTGTAGCTTTTAGCTAGATCTAGGGACATGGCAAAACTCAAGTTTGCACTTGCTGGTAAGAATACTTACTATATGGCGCTATGGAATATCTGTTGCATTATGGTAGGAAGATTAGTCATTGAGTTTAGGTGTTGTCAATCTGAGCCATCTGATGAAGCATCCATGTGCTATTCACTCAAAGGCCTAACAACCATTTGGTTGTTGATCATTAAATTACTTCATAACTATATTTCATCCTCATTTATTAACTGTAATTTTCTGTGAATGAAACTTTTCCTTTTATTTAGTTACCCTGAAATTGTTCTGATGAAATGAACCCATCTTTTTGATTCTTTGCTACTATTTACTGAATTTGGTAATCATCAGTTGGTTTCCTTATATGTTAGTTTATTTTTAAAAAAAGATTTATTCAGGCCCTCATTGGTGGCACAGCTGGTTAAAGCACTGCACTGAGAAGCTATAGCCACTTCCGCATGAGTTCGATTCCCACCTGCCCCGGAGGTGACCACATGGCGTGGCAGACCTCTCCTGACCCGCCCGCTGCTCCCTTCAGCAGTGTACTTCATCAATCTGCCTGTTCTGCTCCCCACTCTGTCTCTTGTGAAGCCTCTTACTGCCCCTGAGCCTCTGGCCTTTACCCCAGTTCTGTATGTATCTTTTTTTTTAAAGATTTATTTATTTATGCATCCAATAACTAGGGTACAGACCAGAGGTATGGGGAGAGAGAGGATTCACTGGGGATAGAGTGGGGAGCAGAGCAGGCAGATCGATGAAGTACATTGATGAGGGAAGTAGCAGGTAAGACAGGAGAGGTCTGCTGTGCCATGTGGGTTTCCTCCCTGGCTGGGGATCGAACTCATGCTGCAGTGTTTGCTAATAGCTTCATAGTGTTGCACTTTGACCCCTTTTGCCACCAGGGAGGCCCCATGTTAGTTTTTATTCCTGTTATTATGATTGTAACAAGCTTATGGACTTCATATAACACAAATGTAGCTTATGTTGCTAGAGGCCATATGCTCAGATGACTGAAGTACTTGTCACTAGGCTTACATCCACATTTAGTTGCGGCCATCAAAGTGTTGAATATAGGGCTCTTCACCAGAGCAGTTACTTCTGTCTTCCTTGACAGTGAGGAGGGGAGATCATAAACCTGTGAAGGGTTAGTCGGAAGAATGGACTTAAATGGTCTTTTAACCCATTTTTTTTCATGAATAAACTAAGTCATGTACCTTAAGAACCATTTGATTAACTGAAAATTTAGCATTTTCAGGAGGAGGGTGTAAAATTTTGCATGGCTTAACAACAACAAGAAAAAAGGGTGAAGTGTTATGATTATACATTTTGAAAGCAAGTTATATGTGTAGTATATTTTGAACAGACTGCACATTTCTATTTTCTGAATTCTGTTACTAAAAGACATTGTTTTCTGCCATTTTTAAACCTTTGTTTGTAGGAATTCCATATAAGCAGTTGACTGTTGGAGTTCCCAAGGAGATTTTCCAAAACGAGAAGCGAGTGGCACTGTCACCTGCTGGTGTTCAGGCCTTGGTCAAGCAGGGTTTTAATGTTGTTGTGGAATCGGGCGCTGGAGAAGCTTCCAAGTTCTCCGATGATCACTACAGAGCAGCTGGTGCCCAAATCCAAGGGGCAAAGGAAGCGCTGGCTTCTGATTTGGTGGTCAAAGTAATTATTCCTTTTTTCCTTTTGTGGCATGCTGACTTTTTGAAATCTGCTCATCAAAAATTCAGTTACTTTTCTCGATTATAGCTTTCCATATATTTCCAAACAATGCTATGTCTCAAAGAATTGGTTGCATGTTGTGACTCTATTTCATGCTCCAGTAGAACTTTGATTAGGCAGTGAGATCTGTGTTTTCCTATGATGGGAAAAAGTGGTCTTTCTTTTTATACATGCCTTGTGGAAATACCCTTTTAATTGGGTAGGAAGAAAGTGCTGTACATGATTCATAGATACTTTAGTGCCCTAGGTGAGTATTTACTACTAGAATGAAAAAAGGTGTGGAGCTCCTCTTGGTACTGAGTATAGAGTACTATTCTAGATGCTTTGAAGAAACGGTGACTTAACTGATGTGTGACTTCTAGGAAGGGAAGGATTCTTCTGGAGAAAACAGCAGGGACTGAGGAATGTGTAGCCTTACTTTAGTATAGTGTAGAAATCTTTGTGCTGAAGGACTTGAGAAAAATAGGAAGTAAAAAATTACATGGGAAAAGGAAGAATGATTATATCAATAATTACAGGTAGTTACTAGAGTTGAGGGTTAACTTAAATCTTATGCTTTTACAACCAAAGTAAACAGGGAAGTATGAATTCCATAAGCAAGATTGTCAGATTTAAACAAACTCCTCACATTTTAAGAGATCAGTTTTTTTTCTGAGTTAATTTCTAGGGGGAGAATCAGTCACATATTTTTTTCTAAAATATAAGGTCTACTGAATGACTTATCAGGGTCTTAAATAATGTTAGCCCCCTAGAACACACAGAACTCTTTTCTGGCTTTGGAATATTAATAGTAAAATTTATGACATGGAAATAAGTTACAATTCAACTAAAATGTATTGTGTTAAATATTTAATGTGTTAAATATACACACAAATATTTGGTGAAACAATTTGGTGTTGTAAGGGGATGTAGAGAAATAAGTATGATTTGTTTCAGTGTCCTAGGAATCACACTTTTTGAGATCCAAAAAGAAAGGCTCATAGTATACACATAAGGTTTGATTATCAGTTTCTTTTAGAGATTCACAGTGTTTAGGTTGTTAAAGGTGCTCAGAGATATTATAAGCTTACATTAATAAGCTACTTGACGTAAGACCCCTTTCTTTTGAAAAACATCTGTTAATATTCCAAAGATCCAGTGGTCCAGTAAAGACATTCTGGGAAACATCCACTTGGCTTAACTCACTCAAAAGACCTGTGGTCTCACACGAATATTTCACAGGTGCCAGAAGAATCATTTCAACACTGTCTTCTAATTTTTATTAAATCTCTGTTATGGATTCACATTGAGGAAAAATAGACCTTGTGAGAGAGTCTTAAAATTCCAGAACCAAAAGGCACATACCTCACCAGATCAGCAGTTGAAATGAGAGTAACAGATAAAGAAAGGTGTCTTCCTGTATAAGATGAAATGCTGTGAGGTGATAAGTATTGAGTTGGTACTTGTATTTGTATTTCCTTCTTAAAAGTAATTCCTAGTGCTGTTTTTTCAGTGCTTAAATGTGCTTGTCTAAAAGTGCTTCTGGCTAACCAGGAGGTAATAAGATGATCTACTTTAATTGAAGATTGATTTTAAAGTTGGAAATAAACACATTTTAAAACACTAACAATGGAATTTACAAAAATTGGCTTTAATAGATGGACATTTGAAACACATGGACACGTGGAGTGTATGTTCATTGACTTATTTGGCACTTCTTTTTCTATAATTTTTTAAAAATTGAAGTAACTTTGATGATAGCTTCACATACAATTTCAGGTGTATGTGATACTTCATAGAATATGCTGTAACTTTTTGCTTAAGCCTAATTCAAGAAGGCTTCTAGTTATTGTGTTCGATTCTTTAGTATCTATTTGGAATTTTAAGGCGGTGTAAATCTACACATCCCATAGAGGCTTTAGTTTATTCAGTTTTTTAACTCCTTATGCCTCCAAATGTTTGTGCTTGAGAAAATCAGCAAGAATTGGATCTTTGAACATGCAACAAATCCTTGTCCATCTGTACTAATTTCTCTTAATTGTACCACAGTCATAAGTTTTGGGACAAGTCTGTTGTAGAATCTTATGTATTTTTTCCACTACTGTATAGTTCATTGCAAATCTGTTTCTCTGGGGTGTGTACTCTTTGTCCAGATAGTTTATAGGTCATAAGTCAGAATAGATGGTGTGAATCTTTGTGTGCTTTGTTTGCTTAGGAATTTAGTCAGAAACTCACTGCTGAACGATTTACTTCTGCAGTAATATTTGAGCCATGTTATATAATTTGTGTTATCTACTTAAAAATATGGTAAATGTATTTATATTTTGTTAATCTGTGACTCTACTCTTTTCAGGTTCGAGCCCCCATGGTTAATCCAACGTTAGGTGTTCATGAAGCTGACCTTTTGAAGACATCGGGAACACTGATTAGTTTTATTTACCCAGCCCAAAATCCAGACTTGCTAAATAAACTTTCCAAGAGAAAAACTACCGTTCTGGCAATGGACCAGGTTCCAAGAGTCACAATTGCTCAGGGATATGATGCGTTGAGCTCCATGGCCAACATTGCTGGGTAGGTTGATTCTTCTCTGTTTCAGTTGAAAAAAAGCACAACAGTACTACAGAAACACTGTTAGTGTGGCTCTTCTCTCTTAGAGGTTGTAGCCTTTGAGAAGACAATTAAATTCTTTTTAAGACTTTTTATCATTTCAGTCTTCAGCTAGGAAATGGCTCTTCACATGGCACTGTTTTCCATTCCCTTTTAATCTGCACGTGTAGAAGAGAAGTAATATTTCTTTCCACCAAGGAAAAAGACAGATAATTGGTATGAGGAAGGGCTGTGTTTTATATATGTATGTATGGTCTTATATATTAAGTTGAAATTGCTTTTTTATTGGTCAAAGTGGCTGAATCTATTTGATGTTGTTCAGTTTAGGTTTTATCCAGGTAAGTTCATAAGTTACTTAGTGAACAGAGAAAATAAAATGTCTGCACTCAAGGAAGTATCACTGGTGTTTAGACCTATATTCATAAGTGAGGGCTAACTGTGGTTTCTTGCCCTGAAGGTCAAGATGGCATAAACTTTGCCCTCCTGCAGAAAGGCAATTCCCACTTGTGCACAGTGCTATCTTGAGAAGGATTCTGTGCTCATGCTGCTCAGAAATGTGGCTATGACTGAGTAGTCATGCCTGCCTCGGGGAGGGATGGGAGTAGCTATCTGATTGCTGTGATCTGAATCTACTTTGAGTGGGAAAAATGTGGAAATTAGATAATACCTATGAAAGCGGTTCATGTAAGAAACTAGTGAATTTGATTTTTAAGCATGAAAAGCATTAGTTGTTGACACCTTGCTAATAAGGAGGCATCTAGAAATGAAAATGTTTAAAAGTAACATATTGCATAAAAGACTAACCTGAGTAAAGCCTTATATAGCCTAACATACCAAATGAAAGTTTTTACACACCAAATGAAAGGTTTGCTTAGGTTTTATATCTTAAGTGGGTGTATAAAATACGCCATAGCTGCTACTCTGGGTTCAGCTGTTCACATTTGATCTCTGTTATATGCCATAAACAAAATGACAAGTTAAAAATTACATGTTGTTGTCCTTTAAGTAACATAGCAAAAGGTTGATTGGAACACATTGTTTTGTGGTACGGATAATAGACTGAGGGACAAAATAAATTGTTGCCTTATTTACTTAGTTTGCAGAAGAGTTAGGTTATACAATGTAGGACTTAAAATACTTCATAGAAAATGTACAAATTACACCAGCAATTTATATCATATTGAAGATCAATAACAAATAATTGAATTCTATGAATTAATAAAATTGCTATTAGTAAATAAGAACTATTATTTCAAAAAAATTTTTTTTGAGTTTACAAATTTGTAAATTTAGAAGGGTGCTACTATTTTGTGACATGAACTGCACCTATGTGAAAGGTCATCAAAACCAGTAGCTCTGGATTGGTAGTTTTTCATTGTAGAATCTTGTGAGCAAATGAAATGTCATGAGGCAAAAGCCCCCGAGTGAAGGCAGGGTGGACTGGGTTGAATTGAAGGACAGAGGGGTCCAAAAACATGCCTGTTCCCTAACACCACCGTCACTAGAGTTGGTGCAAATTGGAGCCTTCTGGAATCTAAGGGACATAGCTTAATGAATCATTATCTTATGGCCTGAGCTGATACTTGTTTGCAAAGGGTATATTTCCAGAACAATCATCTAGTATCTAAACACCCAATGTGGGTAAATGGTTTTTTGCCTGATTAACACACATACCCATAGTGAGAAGCAGTGAAGACATGCCCCTTCCATTTCATTATTGTTCATTTAGAACTTTTTTCCTTTTATCATAAAAAGCCCACTCTTAGCACTTTTTCCCACAATCAACATTTTCTTGTACTTTTCTTGTGTAATCATTTTTTATTATTATTATTTTTTTTCAGTACAGCAACAGAGTGCTTTTAAAGCATTTGTTCCAAAATTAATTTTGTACAATGGCCTTTGGATCCTTATCATTTTGCCCTTTAAAAATTTCAGTCACTCTGAATTTAATTTCAAGGCTAACATTGTATTTCTAAAAGCTTACTTTCCTGCTCCACTGTGATTTGACTTAAACAGTGCTAACTGTTACCTGCTTTATTATCAGTTGTTACTCCATGTATTGTTTGTGAAATTGGTGTAATATGTTAAAGATATCCCATTAAAGGAAAGATGGTGTATATTTATGGTAGTTTTTGTTACGGTTTGTTTAGTTAAAAGCCAAACACTTTTAATTTGCCAGGCACTTACTGTGACAGATTTTATGGTAAGTGCGTTACCTACATCATTTCATTTGAGCCTCACAGCACTAGCGATAGATGTTCTTTCTGTCCCTCCCTACTTAATAGATGAGGAAACCAAGGATTAGAGAATTACAGATACGTGCCCAGCGTCACAAAGCTAGTCATAAAACTGGGACTCGAACTGAGGTCACTCTTTGTCAGACTCCACACTGCCATCCAATCAAGGGAAGTGCTTTTTGTTTGGAGGGTAAAATCTATTTTTTAAAAATTTTATTTATGCATGTGTGCATCATCTTTCATTTTTATACATATCCATCAATGAAGATTTATATGATATAGTAAATTAAAAGAGTTTGCGTTATCAGTAGTTCTAACATCTAAAGAAAATCTTTGCTAGTTTTTCTTATCTTCCCTTCATTTCTTTTTTTTTAAAGATTTATTTATTTATATATGCAAAAACTGGGGTGTAAGCCAGAAGTGTGGTGGTGGGGTGAGAGGATTCACCAGAGACAGAGTGGGGAGCTGAACAGGCAGCTTGATGACGTACACTGCTGAGGGGAGCAGCGTGCGGGTCAGGAGAGGTCTGCTGTGCCATGTGGTCAGCTCCCTGGCTGGTTGGGGATCAAACTTGTGCTGCAGTCGCTGGTGGTACCCTGGTAATGCCCCTTCTTTTTTAAATCCTAATTAGTCTGCAGTGAAAAGGCAGGCCCCATCATGGATGAGTCTGCAGGCAGGAGGCCTGGCTTAGGCTTTGGCTCTGCCATTCACTCCCACGTGACCTTGGAGAAGTCTCTTCATATCTTTGTGTCTCAGTTTCCTCACCTGTAAAATGAAGATAGTAATTGCCCCTCTCCACAAGGTTGTTGTGGAGATTCAGCACTAACCACATTTTGACACAGTAGATACTCTAAATGTTGGCATCTATTCTTTGACAAAATTTGCTGGTGCACTTACGATGATATATGAGCCTAAGGTCTTTCATTTTATGGGATTTAACCACCTGCTTATTTATTTTTTAAGTTATAAGGCTGTTGTACTGGCAGCAAATCATTTTGGACGGTTTTTCACTGGTCAGATCACAGCTGCTGGAAAAGTTCCTCCTGCAAAGGTAGGCAAAATGCCTAGAGTTTCTTTATAATATAGATTAATTATAGCAGTGCTATGTATGGACTTAGAAGAGTTAGTTAAAGATTCTTATTATGTGTAACTTCACATTGATGACTTCTGTGTTATACTAACATGTGACCGAGCCTCAAAGCTGCTTGAAGTTGCTTAAAAATAAATCTTGACATTCTTAAAGCTATATTGTTTTTTTTCTGTTTTTTTTTTTTTTTTAAAGATTTATTTATTTGTGCATACAGAACTGGGGTACAGGCCAGAGGCTCAGGGGCGGCGAGAGGCTTCACCAGAGACAGAGTGGGGAACAGAACAGGCAGATCGACGAAGCACACTGCTGAGGGGAGCAGCGGGCGGGTCAGGAGAGGTCTGCCACACCATGTGGAACCTCCGGGCAGGCGGGAATCGAACTCATGCGGAAGTGGCTCTAGATTCTCAGTGCTGTGCTTTAACCCGCTGCGCCACCAGGGAGGGCCTTTTTTTCTGTTTTTGACTTACTAACTTGAATTATTTGACAAATGGTGCTACAGAGCTTTTTAAATTTCTGACTTTAAAATTTTTTTTTTTTAAGAGTATTTGCGCATACAGAACTGGGGTATAGGCCAGAGGTGCAGGGGCGGTGAGAGGCTTCACCAGAGACAGAGTAGGGAGCAGAACAGGCAGATCAACGAAGTTCACTGCTGAAGGGAGCAACGGGCAGGTCAGGAGAGGTCTGCCTCACCATGTGGGTCACCTCTAGGGCCAGGGATTGAACTCACACTGCAGCGGCTGCAGGTAGCTTGCAGTGCTGCATCCTAATCTGTTGTGCCACCAGGGAGGGCCCCACCTTGTTTTAAAAGAGCAGGAGGAGATGGGTTGGAATGTGTAAGCATCACTGTTTCCCTGGTGGCATCTCTGGCTCTAGTTATCTCTGTCTATCCCTCTATCATTCTCTCACTCAGGCTCTAGCTCTAGCTCTGACAGCAAGGATTTGCCTACACTTGATTGGGAAGTATAGTAAGACTTCTTTGGGAGGGCCCCTTCCAGACTGGAGACTACATTGTTTTTATTTTGTTTCCTAGAAGGTAGGGAGACTCTTGTTTCCGATGAATTCTTTGGTCTTCTTGGCTCCCATCTTTCCATGGTTAGGGAGATTTGCCACATTGCTTTGGGTTTCAGGTACAGTTTGTTTGAAACGGTTCAGAATTAGGTGGTTGGTTAGCTGCTGTTCCTTTTAGCATTTGTGCTCAAAATAGGTGTTGGAACAGATGTTTCATCAAAGTTGCACCCATCTTTGAAACTTATATTGATATTTTATGAACATAAAAGACCCTAGAATTTGAGAGGGGAGAAGTAGTTAGAAGACCACTTTGGGAATTTTCGTGGCAGTAGCTAGGCTTACATATGGAATGCTGATCCTGCTGTATGTGGTTTTCACCCTGAGCTGCTGATTGTCAGGATATTTTTAGTGAAGGTTGTTGACCTTTGTCAGCACTTGTCCTTCTGATACATTTTTAAAAACAGTGGTGGTTCACCTAAAGAGTGTTCTATCCACTTGCAGCCTTTTAGGACTGGCCATCTCTGGCGCCTGGTGTATTATTGAATGCTGCGTCCCAGCTCCTGATAGTTATTAATTGATGGTTTTTCATAGTCAGATGATAATATGTTGAAAACACATTGGTTCTGCCTTTTTCTCTAGATTCTGATCATTGGTGGTGGCGTTGCCGGGCTGGCCTCTGCAGGTGCAGCAAAGTCAATGGGTGCAATTGTACGTGGATTTGATACGAGGTGAGTGCTTCCCTAGTGACTGCAGTTAAGGTGAAAGGTTTTGTTTCACTCAATATCGTGTGCTCATTAGGACTTATAAATGGAAGTGGCACATTGAAAACTGCTCTACAAGCTCTCATTTAAAAATGCTTCCACTTTTTCAGAGTTAAACACAAAGTGAAAAAGTATTACATAGTGGGGAAAAATAAGGACTGAGACTCAGTACAACGAATGCAATTCATAAAAGAATTAAAAACAAACACTTGTTTATGCATATCGATTAGCAGTGGGACAGTTATCACCATGTGGTGCCTCTGTACTATTTTACTGTGTTATTGTTCTGTTCAGAAGTACCTAAGGTATGAACAGAGATGGTTGTGAGTATGAATAAAGAATCTTGGAGAAAGAAACATCTTGGAGAACAGACTAGGGGTGACAGGTGCAGTGGGTCATACCTGCATGGAATTGTTGGAAGCAGGTTACATCAAATGGGCTGAGTAGTCCCAGGACCTTCACCTTGAGCTGAATACAGGCATTGTTATTATTAACACAGCATTAATAATAATTATTATTATTGCATAATTGTGATAAGATCCCTTTCTTTTAACATAAAGATGGAGTTGAATATATTTCTCTGATAATCTTTAGCCCCTCCCTAGCTGAAAGTACTGTGTGCATTGTACATTTACTTAAAACACACATCAATATTTTCTTAGAATTTCTATAAAGAGAAGTTTGATTAAAATCCTTCTTTTCAGAAGTCACTGATAGTGGATTTCATTACATTTGATTGAACATTATTACCATTTATGTGTTCCAGTACTTTTTTGAGGTCAAAACGTCATTATTTATTATTAGTTGAGGAATAGAGGAATAATACCAACTATTAAGGTTGGGTACAGAAAGTCGGAAAGTCTTACTTTTCAGGGCAAAGAATGTTCCATAGAATATGGTTATGCAGTGGTTACTTGGACTTTAAAGAAGCTGTGTACTGATTAAAAGCTGTCCTGTTTAAATGAGAAAGGCATTAATAGAGTTGTCAGGATGAAACTAAGGATAGCCGGAATTAAGCTTGCCTTTAGTTCTATCTTAATTTGGATGTTTGTTAATACGAAGTTTTTGAACCCTTCAAGTTTGAAGAAAACAGGTTCTTGAAGTTTTCATTGTAGTAGAAAATATTAATATAGTAGAAATGTAAATACTTAGAGATTATTTGAAACTTGGTGTTGGGTACTATTTAGAATTTAATCTTTTGTCAGTTACTGTTTTATATTGTATATAGAATAGAAAGCTAGAATAGCTCTTGTTTCACCTCATTTTTATTTACAGTTTAGTAATGTAACTCATATATACTATGAAAAATGATGTGGCTGATTTGATGTAATACTTTTCACAGAATTTATAGTTTATTGGTTAATTAATCATCTTAGATGGGCATTGAATCATATTATAAATATGAGATCCAAATATATTGGAAAACACACTTGATTATAAATTCTTGCTGGAAGAATGAATGGTATTTATTAAGTTAAATATCAAAAATCGTAAGTATAACTCATTGTCTTTTGGTATTAGAGGTGTATAAGTTTTGAAGTTTTTTAAACAATGGCTAGGAACTTCCCTTCCTACCAGTAGGCATTTAAGAGCTTACAGAGGAAATGTATCAATGAAGGCTCATTTGACAAAAAAGGTGTATGTACATGTAGATATTGTTTCCTGTGTTTGGAACCTAAAGTAACTTTTTTTTTTTTTTTTTCCGTATTACCAGAGCTGCAGCTTTGGAGCAGTTCAAGTCTCTGGGTGCTGAACCCTTGGAGGTGGATGTGAAGGAATCTGGTGAGGGACAAGGAGGATATGCAAAGGAGATGTCTAAAGAGTTCATTGATGCCGAAATGAAGCTCTTTGCTCAGCAGTGCAAGGAGGTGGACATCCTCATCAGCACAGCACTTATTCCAGGTATGGTAGTAAGGCTGTGAGTATTGGCTATACGCTTTACAAATGACCTTTTCTTTTTTCTTTTCTTTTTTTCATTTTTAAAGGACAGGTTTATTAGGAAAACGAGAAAGCAAGCAAGCAAGAGAGAAAGAAAGAGGTACCTGCATAGTCATAGTTAGGCAGGAGAGCTATCCTTTGCCAGTGCCACTAAAAACATTTTAAATTGAGGATACATCATTGGTTAACATTTGAATTCTTTACCTTAAGATTGACTTTTCTGCTTATAAAAGTTCTAGAAAATAAATAAGACATGTCAGGCAGAAAAGACGATGTCATTGAAGCCCCTTCTGCTAAAGGGTCACTAATTATTTGGAATATTTTCTTCAATATTTCAATAATGTGTATTTTCATGTAACTGTTTTCATTCATAGTCTGTGTGCAACTCATAAGCAATTTTCTGTTCATACACTTCTTAAATTGACTTTTAATTCATTTCTGTTCTCATGATTAAGATACAACATTCAAATTTTTGTATGAAAAATATAAAGAAAAAAATACAGGTCGTCTGAAGTTCTACCAGAAATAACTGTTAGCAGTATTTTGAGGATCATTTTTCTAAACATGACAGAAGTGGCTACTGTGTGTGTGTGTGTGTGTGTGTATTTACAGAACTTCCAGTGCATATTTTTCACTTAATGATATAACACATTGCTTTCTAATTACTTCCTTTGACATGTTTGACCTAAGGCAAACAAATAGCTATTTGATGGCAAGGATTACTTTTCAGTTCCTTTACAGCTTCCTCGTATACAAAATATTTTTACTTGATGGATGGATGTTAAACCAGTTACATACTTATTAGTAATCAGTGGCTTGATCTTACAGGGCTTATTGTTATTTGTGTTGGCTCTTACTGAAGGATCTCTGGGACTGGACAGTTAGGAAAAGTTGCCTTGTCATGAGATGGTGGAACAGGAAAGTTTTCTTCTGGTATCCTTCTTCTCCCTCCTCCAGCTCCTTTAACCTGACTAACATAAACCCAAGGGCAGGAAGGTGATTGGCGTCACATGTCTACAGGTCTCTCTTCGTGACCTCTGTTTACTCAGGTGATACTTGATAGGTGAACTGGCCACTCCAGACACTTCCACTGCCCCCCACACCAGAACTGGCTACTTGAAGCAGACTGACAGGAGGGTGAAACGGGCTTATCCTGTAGAAGAATCTGTGAGTAGAAATGAGGCCAGAGTGGATGTAAGTTAGGTGAGCCCAGGCACCAGGGTGATGTTTATGAAGGAAAGACATGTGAACAGGCAGTGGCTGGAGAGCTCCTCAAGTTCCTTCCTTTCCCTTTCTGGCAGCGGCCTCTGGCCTCTGGCTCAGCTTTGAAGGACAGGAGGCCTATGCTGTAGCCACTGTCTGACCTTTGAAAAATAAGCTAGCTGCATCTCGGTGAAGCAAACTGCTCCCTGATTGAATGCAGCAAATGGCCAGAAGAGGGCGCTAAGACATTTAGTCACAGAATTAATGGTGAGGACCGGAGCTCGTTTTAGTCATGTGAGACTCACAAAAAGAACTGAGGATGATTTTATAGTGATTATAGCTCAAAGTGAATGATAGAACTTAAGGCTTGTGAAAAAACACTACTACTTTAAGGGCCTATCCTTTTTCTCCGATAATAATTAGTCTTTCCTGGCAGAAAAAACCTCCATTTAAAGTCTTTCCTGATGACCATCTAGTTATAAGTTTTTTTTAATAATTTTTTTATATTATCCTTCATTTTGTACATTTTTTCATCTCAGTTGTAATCCCTGTGGACTTCCCACCACCACTTCACCCAGGTGCCACCACCAAAGTCCCGTGAGCTCTTCCCACTGTAGTTTTGATCTTGTGTCCCTCTCCGCTCCCATAGAATGTCTCTGGTTTATAGTTTTTATCCACCTCTAAGTTTATGGTGTACTTTAGAGAAAGGCCCAGAGTTCATACTCAGAAGGCTTTCTGAAAAGGACTTTCCTGTTATTTTTTTTTTAAACCAAAATAAATGGGAAAGGTTAGTTAGAATATTATAAGGATGCAGATGATCTTTCCAAGGATCTTTCATACTTCTGGGGGACTGAACTCTGAAAGTCTGAGTATTTACAAGCAGTTGAGAAGATATATAAATATGTAGCCACCTCTGAAAAACTGTGTCCTTGCCATTGCATCTTTACTGACTTAGGTCCTAAACCTTGTCATGAATCACCTGATGGCATTGCAGATGTTACCCTAAAGTTTTCCTTGAGTGGCTCCAAAGAGAATTAAGGCAGGTATCAGAAGTTCTCTAAGATAAGAATTTTTAGAACAGAAAGATCTGCCTTAGATGAGAACTTTGAGAGAGGGATACAGTTAGCTGGTTTCAGGTAGCAACCTGTGGAGTTGCCAAATTTTTGTTCCGCTTAGGTACATGATGGTGAGTGTGTTTAAAAAGCAGTAATGTTGAGGGCCTCCCTGGTGGTGCAGCCGGTGAAAGTACAGCACTATGAAGCTGGCTGCAGCCGCTTCAGGACAAGTTTAATATCCACCAGGGTGCTGACCTGAACGGTGCAGCAGTCCTCTCCTGACCCGCCCGCTGCTCCCCTCAGCAGTGTACTTCATCAGTCTGCCTGTTCTGCTCCCCACTGTGTCTCTGGTGAATCCTCTCACTGCCCCTGCAACTCTGTACCCCAGTTCTGTATGCATAAATAAATAAATCTTTTAAACAATTATTATTTTAAAAAAAACCAGTGATATTGAACTTAGGTAGAGTGTATGTGGGATGAAATATTTCTGTATCTAGCTAGTTACTATACTGCCTGGTATCTTGCACCACACACTTCAGCATCATCTCCACCCCCTTGATTGGGTTGGGTGATGGGGTCAAGGCTAGAGTAGCAATTACTGTGGATAGGCTCAGGCAAGGCTGACAGTCCTGTTTAGTGGTGCTTTGCACACTAAGGAAAGTACCCACAATTCCCTTCTACTTCTCTGACCTTCAGGGTCACTGTTCAAAAGTAAGGCACCCCTGGGACTTACCAGTCTGCTGGTAAGTTCAGTCCGTGCTCAGAGTTTTCCTGCTAAACCTTTGGAGTCAGGCAGAGATTTTTCAGCATCCCTACTGCTCTGGAACCCTTTCAGAGAGACTTTCCATATTCCTTGAATATTTAATCAGGAAGAGACAGAATGAGGTTGAAAATCTGGTAAGTTTGGGAGGGTCCAGGTAGGATCGACGGAATCATAGTGGTTTCACATTGAGATTGTTAGGCAAATTTCACCCAAATTAAAGTGAGAATAGAGAGTTCTTTGAGGACAAGTTCAGCCTTCCCTGGCAGAACTTTTAAACCTTCCTGATGCCCATCTAGTTATAGAGTCATCAGCACCATTGGGTCATCTAGCTTTCCTCTTTTGCCTTCTCAGCTCAGCCTTGCTCTCACTTTGTAACTGAGCTAGAAGCTACAGAAAGCCTGGGGCTTGGCTTCAGTAAGGAGGATAGTGTCTTGGAGCACCTGGCTTCCCAGGCATGAGCTAACAGTATCTGAACTGAGGAGGATTGGATCTTTGGGGTCATTTCCCCACTCTCTCCCCCACTTACTGTACTCTTTGGTAAGAGACACTCATTTCTTTTTAAAAGATTTATTATTTTCCATACAGAACTGGGGTACAGGCCAGAAGTGCAGGGGTGGTGAGAGGATTCACCAGAGACAGTGGGGAGCAGACCAGGCAGATTGATGAAGTACACTGCTGAGGGGAGCAGAGGGTGAGACAGGAGAGGTCTGCCTGGCCATGTGGGTCACCTGGGGCTGGGGATCGAACTCTCCCTGAAGCAGCTACGCTAGCTTTGAAGTGCTGCGCTTTAACCTGTTGCGCCACCATGGAGGACCCAGAGACACTCTTGCTAATCCTGATGTACCTTTTAGACTCCTGTTCAACTAATCCTACTCTGTGTGGACTTGATTTCAGTCATTCTGGCTGCTTTTATCTCCTCAAGTAGGTCAGTCCTTCAGACCTTTCCTCTATTCCGGTTCTCAGCCTTCTTGGCCCCTGCTTGTCCTGGCCAACATCAGCGGAAAGGGTCTGGTTGTCCCGGCTACATAAGTAGAAGGGTCGGGTTGTGTCTGTCATGTTGGAACTCAGCATGGGGCCTCATCCTCAGTGGTGGCTCAGTGTATGCTACTCAGCTGTGTCTTGACTTTGGGTGCCTTTCTTCAGTCCCAGATGGTATAATCCTTTTTATTTTTCCAGTGCTATCCAAGGAAAGATAAGAAAGAACACTCTGTCGACTCACTTTTGGAGATGAGCCCTGCAGAAGCTAATTTAAGACTGGGAACCTAGCTCTTAAAATTTCAAAACTAGGATATGTGCCCACTTTGCAATATGAGGTGGCTCTCTCTCTCTCAGGGGACAGAATTAGGAAATGGTGGAAGGTCTCTTCTGAGCTTAGTGGTCCTGCCATCCAGGAAGGAAGCTTTTCATTGCTTGATAATAAATGCTAGTTTCTTAGGCCGTATGTACTTGGGCCTCTTTTAGGCAGAATAATGTAACACTACTATTTGTATTGTCCTCTACCTGTTAACTATACAAGTATCTGTAGAATACTTGTAACTGTACATGAGATTTCTCTTCCCTGGAGAATCAGAAGGGTGTGTTTAGGGAGATCCACTAGGCCTTGCTCATATGAGACCAGACCTGAGTGAATTCATAGCCCCCAGATGTCAGCCTTGGCTCTCTCTGATGCTGCCTTTCCCTGTGAGACTATCTTTCACATGGAGTAGAAACATAATGCAGAAATGAACTTCTCATGGTCAGTTTCAAGCATTCTTTTTGGCAAGAGAATAATTGATAAAGTGGTTTGTGACATTCCACAGATACTATTGTCTTGATGACTGCACTGTGTTTTTCTTTCCCCTTTCTGTCCATATTATGGGCTTAGAAAACTATATACAACAGTTATTTCCAACTCCGGGGAAGTTATTTGACTTATTTTTACTGAGTCATCGCATTCCTCTATC